AACCAAGACGTCATTTTAGCAACCTTAGCATCTCTCAAGAAGACAATAATAGTGGTCCCAAGAGGGAATAAAACAGCACTTCCCGGGTGTTCTAGACCCCACGAGGCCCTCTCTCCCGGGAGTTCTTTGTTCTAAAGTTTTTCTTTTTCTGACCCCCACAGCCTCAATGTTGACCCCTGTGAACTCCCATCCATCTTCTGAGCACATTCAATTCTCTTCAACGGCCGGGTAAACCTTCTGTTACTCTACCTGAAAACATTATGTTTGTGTGGGTAAACGCTGCATCCTTTGGGAGTGCCTGGTTTCAAGACCAGCTTCTTCCCAAATATGAACCCTGACAGGCAGCAGGTGGTTGGGCCCCTGCCTCCCACGTGGGAGCTCCGCAGCCCAGGCTGTTGGGTGTATTGGGACTGACACAGTCGACAGAAAATCTGTCTCATAGAAAAATAAGAGGTAAAAATGGACTTTGCAAGCAAAAAAAAAGTGTCTGCTTCTGTCACACTATATTCCACGAGCATGTGTTCGCAACGCTGCCTAATGCAAAAATGGTTGTACTTTTACATATAATTTAGTACTGTATCGGCAGAGAACACTTCATGAAGCTGGAAGGGAAACCTCACGGCTTGCACCTGTTTGGTGGTTTCCTCCTGAGCGCTGCAGAGCCGCTGACCCAAGCGAAGCGCTGCCTCACGACCACAGAAAAGAGGTAGCGCAGTCTTCTGTCCGAGGGGTCTGGCGTGGCCGCTGCGGTGCCCGCACCCCAGCTCCGGCGAGCCACGCGGCGGGAGCGGCGCCCCGACCCTTGGCCCGGAGCGGGCGCTTCCCGGGGCGGCCCTCCGGCGCCCAGCCCGCACGCAGTGCTGAGTCACGGTGAGGCGGCACGGCGCGCGGCAGTCACGTGGCGGGGGCTGGACCACAACAACGGCGCGGCGTGCAGCGCGGGCGGCTGGCGCCCTTCCTCCGGCGACGGGCCGCGCTCGGAGCATGCTCGGCGGGGCCGCGTCCCCGGCCGCCGCGTCCGGCCCGGGTTTTCCGGCGCTCCCGGAGCCGTGCTCGTGTTGTTGGCGGGGCTGGAGTGCGGTTCTCTGACCTGGGCTGAACTCGCACGGGTTCCGGACGAACCCTAGCGTTGCATTCTGCCGCGGGAGAAATGATCCGCCTGTACTGATGATTAGCTGATTCTGTAAGATAAGAGCTTTTCCTGTGTTGCCCAAGTCCTGGTACGGCTGAGCCCTGAAACACCCAAAGGTAGAAATCCGGCTGTGGTTGAAACCTGCAGAGTGAGATCGCGAATAATTCTGCCGCATTCTAAGTAGATGGAGAGAGGTGCGGCCGTTCTTGACTGGGACCACTAGATCTGCAGCGGGCTGCTTCCTCTTCTAACAGAGATTGCAAACAATTATTTAAAAAAAATAAAATAAACTGCCAGGATTCTGCTTTTAAATTCGACGCAACTGCCGAAATGAGTGCAAATCATTTGAGGGTACTGGTTCCGAATTCGCGGGCGGGGTTGGGGTGGGTAGTGTGGACAGGGCCCTCATGAATGAATTCAGATCTTAAAACGAATCCTCTCCACGTTCAGCATCTGAACCTACACTCGCTGCCCCTCCCCAGAGCCTGGTTTTGTGCTTAGGCAATGGCAGCTCTCTGTGGGAGAAGTGTGCTTTCAGTGTGAATGAAGCTCTGATCAGCACTGTTTCAATTAAGTGGAATGCGAGCTACTTAGTCGCATGCAATCTTAAATTTCCCAGCAGCCACCTTTAAAAATGCAAAAGGAGCAAGTGCGTGGATCCAGTCACACCGCATCTCATGGAGCTTGATGTCTGAAATACTATCATGGGGGCCTGGCGCGGTGGCGCAAGTGGTTAAGGTCCTCGCCTTGCATGCCCGGGATGCCATGTGGGCGCCGGTTTTATCCTGGCAGCCCCTCTTCCCTTCCAGCTCCCTGCCTGTGGCCTGGGAAAGCAGTCGAGGATGGCCCAAGGCTTTGGGACCCTGCACCTGAGTGGGAGACCCGGAAGAGGCTCCTGGCTTCGGATCGGCATAGTATCGTCTGTCGCACTCACTTGGGGAATGAATCATCGGACGGAAGATCTTCCTCTCTGTCTCTCCTCTCTGTATATCCGCCTTTCCAATAAAAAAAAAAAAGACAAATACTTATGAAATACTGTCATGGGCATTACCACGCAATCCACATGAACTTTTTAAATGTTTGCCTGCTCCTTTGTGTTATCAAATCTGCTGGTTACACTCACAGCATACCTCAAAGGGCCATTCAGTTTCATTAGAAACTCCTGACTTGCACTTGGAGTTCATGAAATTCACAGTTGAAAAAAATGAACCTACATGCCAAAATTGCAAAATGTACTTAAAACATTTCCTAGTAAACAAAGCTGGGATGGTGTGGACCGTGTCCCATACTGGAGCACTGGTTCAAGCCCAGGCTGCTCAGTGTCTAATCCAGCCTCCTACTGATGCACCTGAGAAAGTGGCAGCCAATGGCCCAAGTCCTTGGATCGCAGACATCCAAAGGAGAGCCCAGGCTGGGCGCAGTTCCTGGCCTCTGGCTCCAGCTTGCCCCATCCCCAGTCATTCTGGCCGTTTGGGTAGTAGCAGCAGATGGAACATCTGTCCTCTGTCACCCTACCTTCAAAAAAAGTTTCCTAAAAATGAATCGAACACCAATTTTTAAATTCATATTTAAGTCAAACAATAACTCAGGTTAGCCACATTCATTAGCCATGTTCAACCACATGTTGAACAATGCCAACTATGAAACATGAGACTGTGAGAATAACCAAATGACCCTTTCTTTGGATGCTTTACCTGTTAGTAAAGTACTATTTCTCCCATGCACCCTTCCCCCCCCCCCATCTTCTGCTTTTCACACTAGCATTTATTAACTACTTTCCTAGAACCAAGGCCAGAAAGCCTGAGACATCTCAGTTCCAGAGAAAACCACTAGTCTGGCTGTGCTTTTGACATGAATTCTATAAAGTGTATGGAGGCAAGCACAAATTTAATCCAAAGAGAGCAGTAACAGGGACTCAGGCAGGAGGGTATCAGATGGAGAAAAAGAAGTAGAAAGCCAGGCAGGGGGAGGTCTCGCTACATTGGTGACTAAGGCATGAAGGTGGAGCTTCCAGCAGCATCCTCCTCCATGCATAACACACCACACCGCGACAGTCACAGCCGGGCCTGCATAACACACACCTCACCGCGACAGTCACAGCCAGGCCTGCATAACACACACCTCACAGCTACAATCACAGCCAGGCCTTCTGTGTCCATGACCCCCGTCCTGCGATGAACACTCCAATAAGAAGGCTGTGAAAGAAGACACTACCCAAGGCTCACACCTTACAAAGGGCAGAATGGGTGCACTCTTTCTGGCCTTGGGAGAAGTCTGACCTGGTTGCTGTCACTTTGCCTCTGACCTGTCATGTCGTTGCTCTGTCAACAATCATTGAACGGACCCGGCGGCATGGCCTAGTGGCTAAAGTCCTCGCCTTAAACAGGCTGGGATCCCATATGGGCACTGGTTCTAATCCCGGCAGCTCCACTTCCATCCAGCTCCCTGCTTATGGCCTGGGAAAGCAGTCGAGGATGGCCCAAAGCTTTGGGACCCTGTACCCATGTGGGATACCCAGAAGTTCCAGGATCCTGGCTTCAGATTGGCATAGCATCAGCCGTTGCGCTCACTTGGGGAGTGAATCATCGAATGGAAGATCTTCCTCTCTGTCTCTCCTCCTCTCTGTATATCTGACTTTCCAATAAATAAATAAATCTTAAAAAAAAACCCACAACAATCATTGAACAATAATTTGGGGAGGGGAGGGCAAGGTACCTTCTTTGCCCCCTTTCCCACCAGGACTGAGGCAACTCCACTTGCTCCTGGGATCCTCTGGCTCCACAGCTAGCTCACCTGAGCACTATTTTGATCCTTTAATGGAGGAAGCTTAGGTCTGGAGCAGGATATGAAGGAAGATAAACTCAGAGATGATTCTTTCCTATGATCCATCGCGAGGTGTAGATCAAGCCCCTTTCCCCTTATTTTTGCAACAAGTGACCATCCAGGAAATAAGTTATCAAAACAGTTGACACCAATCATAATACTCACATATACCTAAAAAGCTCCTAGCCAGATGGACACTTCTTCATAGCTGGCTCCATCCACTGTCGGCTCTATGCAAAACAATTCTCTGTCAATCGTTACAACATCCTTAATTATATTTAAAGATTTATTTATTTATTTTTATTGGAATGTCAGATTTACACAGAGGAGAAACAGAGAGAAACATCATCCACTAGTTTACTCCCAAAGTGGCTGCAATGGCCAGAGTTGAACCGATTAAAAGCCAGAAGGCAGGAGCCTCCTCTGGTCTCCCATGAAGGTGCAGAGTTCCACGTCTTTGGGCCGTCTTGGACTGCTTTTCCAGGCCACAGGCAGGGAGTTGGATGGGAAGTGGAGCAGCTGGGACACTGGCGTCTATAAGGGATCCTGGCTCATGCAAGATGAGGACTTAGCCACTAGGCTACCGCGTTGGGCCCCATCTTTAAGCCTTACTTATCCAGGTTTGGAAATAACTTGCCAAGATTAGTCAAGTCCCTCTGTACCACATACTAGAGTTGACCGTGTGTTTCATCGGACTCCCACCTTATTATTTTTCTCAAAGCGTTTTTGCAGTTCTCATCCAGTTCTGTCTTTGCATTAGGAAAACGGGATGGTAACGCCTCGCGTGCGCCCTAAGCTCCGCAGCCCGCAGCCCAGCGCCGCGCACCCAGCGCCCCGGCTCTGACCTCGTCGGGGCCACGCCCGCGCACCCCTTCTGCTCCTCCGCACCCCGGATCTCCACGCCCTCCCGGGCACGCCTCCCCTCCTGCCCCGCCTCCTCTCCCCGCCCTCGCCCGCAGTCTATAAAACCTGGAGCGTGCGGGTCCGCGCTCGGAGCGGCGGGCGGCGGCACTGGGCATGCTCGGCGGCGCCGCAGGCTTTGGTCACAAGTAGGAAGAAGCCAGTGAGTGCACGACACCGGCAAAGAGAAGCGGGAGCGGGAGCCGCTGCGCGTCCGTGGGGACCGTGGCCTCCGCCTCGGAGCAGCAGCAAGGCGGGACGGGCGAGGGGCGAGACCCTCGGGCCTAGAGCCGCCCAGCCTGCCCTGCCGTCTCCTGGTGCGCCGGACCCCCGCGGCAGTCACCTGGGCGGCAGGGACCTGTCCCCGCACCTGGAAGCCGGCGCGGACGGCACCGTCCCTCGGCCGACAGCGTCTCCAAGGCCCCCCTTGGGGTGAATCGTCGCCGCCGCCTTGTGCCGGCCCCCCGGAGCCAGCGGCCGCCGGCACCTCCGAGGAGTAGGAGGAGGGGGCGGCCATGGGGCTGCTGTCCCAGGGCTCTCCGCTGAGCTGGGAGGAGACCAAGCGCCACGCCGACCACGTGCGGCGGCACGGGATCCTCCAGTTCCTGAACATCTACCACGCCGTCAAGGACCGGCACAAGGACGTGCTCAAATGGGGCGACGAGGTGAGCCGCCCGCGGCCCTTGCCCCGCTGGACGCCTCTGGCAGGCCACCCCGCGCTGCCTTTGTTCGGCCAGGCTGGACTCGCGCCCCCTCCCGCCCCGGCCCCATCGCGGTCCGCGTCCTGCCCTGCGCCCCGGGCGCGCCACCCTGCCCTCGCCTGGCGGGCGTCCAGGGCCGTCCGGACCGTGGGTCCCCCGCCTGAGCCTCTAGGCACACCTGTCTCCCTCCAAGTGCGTTCCATTCATTCATTAGGGCTTCTCCCTTCAGCCGCCGCGATGGGCTCTGGGATGGCGTGAGCGAGAAAAAGTGTTACCTGGACCAAAGTCTGGTGTCTATCCGCCGGCTTCAAAATTGGCTCTGTGATGATTGAGAAAGGGACTGATTCGTCCTTGGTAGGCCCCTTGCTGTTCGAAAAGAGGTCTTGGAGTGTTCGCGTTTGCCTTGCCTTGCCTTCTTCAGGTGTCTGCAAAATCCTGTCCCTCCTCCTCAAGCTCTCACGTTGGCCCCCCGACCACAGCTGATAGCTGTGAATTCTAACTAGCTTTGGAGTAGTAGCTGCTTGACCCTGTGTAATTCTAAGTGGGAGTGCTTAGAGCTTCAAAATATGGATTTGCTGGTGCTTTTCCGTGGCCTCATTCCAATATCTAAACTTGATGGCAGATGAGTTGTCTGTTGTCTCAGGACGTGGGACCATTGTTTGTTGGAATGATGTGGAGAGCAGCTCTAACAGTTGAAGCTGTTCGTTTTAATCTCTTCTGCTAAAGCTTGTTGTGCCCTCCCTATTTTGAAGAAATGCAATATGCAGCACAGACAGCTAGCTCATTGGAAAATCCGTCTCTTTTTTGAATCTTAGCTTTTGTTTGCCTGTGGATGTAGTGTGTCTTTTGCCAGCGTTAACACTAAGTGTGAGGATCCTGCTAAGCCACTGCAGAGCAAGTTACAAAAAGTTAGCTTTTCTGTCTCTAAGATGGGACAGTTGATGTGGATTTGGAAAAAATAATGACTGGTAATTCACGAGTCTACAGAAGGGGTTTGTCGCACTTAAGACACAAACACAGCCATGTCCGATGATAGTTTTTCAGTTTTCATCTGAAGCTCATTTGTTAACTGCGTGTAATGTTTTTGTGCATTCGTTTGTGTATCATGTGTCACAGGACTCGGTCAGCCCAAGGAGCAGGGGGCATTGCACCATTTGTTCACTTGTGCCTTTCTGGAGTTTAGGCTTGTGCCTACTGTAGTTTGGTATCAGGTAATTGTGGAACCGTGTGAAGTGTCATTAAATTTTCCCATTGTGAGATAATTCACCACCCCTGAGCCATTGAAAATTTAAGTCTTGTTTGTTCCCATTTTGACTCTGTCTTTGTGGTGGTCATTGCCCCAGGAAGAATTATGCCTGCTGGAGACTGGCTGCACTGGGGGACCCCCATCCTTCTCCCCTCCTTGTGCCCCCCACTTCCTGTCCACCATTGGGCCATTGGCCGTGTTCACACTCAATCCTCCTGGAGTCTGGGGTTCTTACACTTCTGTGGAACTTCTTCCCGTGGACAGGGAGAATGGTTAGGACTTTGTTGCAGTTGTTAAGTGAGAAGAGCTCAAGAGCAGGGCCCTGATGAAGTACAGCACCCTGGAATGTGTCTCCCCTCTGATAAGCGTTTTTGGAGAGAGGGTTGGGGATTAGGCTTTCTTTCCATCCCCACCCTGAAAGCTCAGGGTGTTAGAAGAGAGTAATAATGTACTTGTGTTTTTGCTTCTGTGAAGTAGACTCAGCATTTCAGCCAGGTGATAAAACTTGGGAAGATTGTAGCACCCAGATCTTTTGAGAATTGAACTTGAGTGTGTCTTAAGGCTCTAATGATAATTGTTTAGCGCTGCTGTCTTGTTAAAATGTGTTAAACAGGATCCCAGGAAGGGTTTCATTTGTTGCTGTTGACTACATCAGCCAAATTCTTGTTCCAAATATTGTTTCGTGAGCTACAGAGCTGTAAACTGATTTGTCTTTAAAATCCTGATTTTAGATGCTTCCTCTCACCAGCATTTGAATCTTTATGATCTGTCTTCTCTAGGCTCCTAAATTTTTTTTCTTCCCCATCCCTGATTTTTTTCTCTCCACTAACACCTCCATGTCCTTTGGAATGGGAAGGTTACTGTTTAACAGAAACATGAAGTAGAAAAAATAAGAACATTCACTGGCTGCTTGTTTGTTATTACTTAAAGATGTATTTATGTGAAAGGCAGTTATGGAAAGAAATTTTCCTTTCTGTGGTTCATACCTTACATGGCTGGAGCTGCCAGGGCTGGGCCAGGTCAGAGGCAGGAGTCGAGAACTCTACGTGGATCTTCCACACGTGTGTGTAGGGACCCATGTTCTTGGGCCATACCATGTACTGCTTTCCCAGGCTGGTTAGCAGGGACCTGCGTTGGAAGTAGAGCCCGCAGGCCTTGAACCTGTACCCATATGGGTTGCTGGCATCCCAGATAGCAGCTTAACCAGCCACACCTTATACTGGCCTCTGCTTATTTGTTACTGTATTCTGCTTCAGTTGTCTGGTTAGACGGTGGAAGATTCAGGAATAACATTCCTGCCTTCAAACATTGACAGTTCAGTTGGAAGTAGGCAGCTGACATGGGAAGAATTAGGATTCTGAAGAATGCCCAAGGGGGGGAAGCCCACATGAGTTTATTGTTGTTTGGATATTTTTAAATTTTTATTGGGAAGTCAGACACACAGAGAATGAGAGACAGGAAGATCCTCCGTCTGCTGATTCACTCCCTAAGCAACTGCCACAGCCAGAGCTGCACTCATCCGAAGTCAGGAGCCTGGAGCTTCTTCAGGGCTCCCACTCAGGTGAAGGGTCCCAAGGCTTTGGGCTGACCTCAACTGCTTTCCCAGGCCACAAACAGGGAGCTGGATGGGAAGCGGGGCTGCTCGGATTAGAACCAGCGCATATGTGGGATCCTGGAGCATGCAAGGTGAGGACTTTGGCCACTAGGCTACTGTGCCGGGACCTATTTTTAAGATTGATTTATTTTTATTGGAAAGGCAGATCAGTTTTACAAAGAGAAGGAGAAACAGAAAGATCTTCCATCCACTGATTAATTCCTCAAGTAGCTCCCATACAACTACAGAATCCCAATACTTTGGGCCGTTCTCCACTGTTCTTACAGGCCACCAGCAGGGAAGTAGATGGGAAGTAGAGCAGCTGGGACATGAACCAGTGCCCATATGGGATCCTTGTGCCTCAAAGGTGATGATTTAACTTGAGCTATTGTACCAGGCACCCACACAAGTTTTATTGCTAAAGCAGCAGGTCAGGGAAGCCTTGGGATCTAATTGGACTGATCCTCTCCCACCTGTGGCCTGTGGGATGCAGAGGCTAATGCTTGGTTGTATCTGGACCTTTCTCAGGGGGTCTAGAGGTGTGCTTTTCTGGGGGTGGCTGGGCTTCTAAGTACTTCCTGCTTCTGTTATGTAGCCGCAGGCCCCAAGTCATCACCCTTTCATTGGACAGCATGTTTTTCCGTCTGCAGATCATGCGTGCCCCATAGTGGGAGGAGATTCCACTTAGGACTTTTGGGTGTGGGTGTGATGAAAGCACTTAATAAGAAATCCATAATAGTTTTATCAATTGCAGGAATGATAGAGTTCATTCGTCTTGCATAATTGCAACTTTTATGCTTGTCAAGATTTGCTGGAAATTTTTATTGTAGAGTCAGATTTACTGAGAGGAGAGACAGAAAGATTTTCCATCCATTGGTTCATTCTCTAAATGGCCACAATGACCGGAGCTCAGCTGATCCAAAGGCAGGAGCCAGGAGCTTCTTCCAGGTCTTCCATGTAGGTGTAGCATTGCAAGGCTTGGGGCCATACTCTGCTGCTTTTCTAGGCAACAAGCAGGGAGCTGGAAGGGAAGTGGAGCAGCCGGGACACAAACTGGCAACCATAGGGGATCCTGGTGCATGCAAGGCAAGGATTTTAGCCACTTGGCAATTGCTCTGGGCCCAACCTTATGCTTTTGATTATCTATTCATTTCCCCCTTTCCCAGCTCTTCATGTCTGAGATATGAGAGTTGGACTGCATTAGCAGTCTGCCCTTCTGGAACTGGTTTATTTCTAATAGGTAATGTCCTCAAAGTTCATCCAAGTTCTCTTGGGCTACAGGTTTCCTTCTATTTTTAAGGCTGGATAATATTCCATCATTCCTTTGCACCAGTCTTTTGTCAGTTAACATCTTGGTTCTTTCCACATCTTGCCTGTCATAAATAGTGATGCATAAACGTTAACATTATCGTCTCCCTGCCAACCAGGTTTTAAAAAAAACTGAAAGAGAATGTGTCAGATACCCAGGAAGAACATGAAGTCATACTTTGCGCTGTGTATTTAGCAGAGTGTGTGAATAGGGCTGCACATTGAGTTGCATCTTTTTTGGCTTGGAAGAGTTTGATGGCTTAACAATCTCAGATTCATCTAGGCAAGCTTCTGTGATGAGATGAGCCTAGAGGAGCTTGAATCCTGGCATACACATAACAGAAACTCACTTTTGCCCAGACAACTCTGAAGTCTGAAGTCGGCCTGGGACACCCAAAGGGCCAAACGGCCAATGAGCATGTGTGTGTACAGCTCACTGTATCAGCTTATACACAGATCACTATATACACAGCACATGTATACAGCAGTCATGGGAGTAACTGAGAATGAGGTGGGCTGATAAATGTAGATGAGGGTGTGGTGGGCAGTGTGGCCCCCAGAGATGAAGAGTGGCAAGCAGAAAGTAGTGTTTTGGGTGTGGTCTGTTGAGCTGCATTGCCTGACACGAAAGTGATGCTTTGCTTGGTTTGGTGTTGCACTGATGCAGTCGCAGCCTGAAGGAAGATTCTTCTGTGACTCTAGGTGTATTTGGAAGCCCTCTGCCCCACCCATTTGGACATTATTTGGAAGGCAGAGGAACAGAAGATTTTTCTTCCATCTACTGATTCATTTTTCCAAATGCCCACAACATCCAGT